ATCGGTGCTATTAGTTACCGATCAGGCAAGTGCACTTGAGCGCCAAATTCGGAGCTTCGTCCTTGATCCCGTGCGTGTGCTGCATCTTGAATGGCGCTTTCGAATTTCGTTAACGTCACGTCGATGCAACCGCGAATTAATTGGATTTTCGATGGCCACCTTCTTGGTGGTTGTGGTGAAGTCCTCGACGAGAGACGAGACACTTGGCTTTCTAGATCCTTTCCTAGACGCGGGAAGAATCGCCGATTAACGAGAATGATCCGCGAGATTGACCGGCGAAGATAACGACAGTGTTTTCCACTCTCGAAGACACTTTCTTTCGTACCTACCGGGAAGAAGTTGAAAAATCTCGGACGCCTTCAAGTGTACGGTCAAGGTGAAAGTACGGTTCGTCCCGATTAAGTTCCATGATCAGGTCAGCGGTAATCGCGAGCGAAATCGATCCCCTTTCCCATCCGGCAGCCGGCTTACTGCAGTTTCCTCTTCTTCGTAGAATATCTCTGCGAATTTTATAAATGATATTTACCTCGATCAAGTAACTGCTTTTGGAATAATAGCAAAACTCGTTTGGTAGTTAGATTTCGCGGATTTTCCGAAGAATACTTTGAGACTGATGTCTCGAGATTTTTTTTTTTAGTTGATTTCAATCTCGTTCCCACGTGTATAACAAAGTTGGAAAATTTTTTAAATATAGTATTTACACATGTTACGATCATGTAAGATATTCAAATTCGTGCTATAACACAATTATTTATGATATTTAAATTAAGTTTCAATTTCTTTCTCGTGTGTATAACCATTTTCTACAAAGAAAAGCGAAAAGAATCTCTTCATTAAAAAAAAAAAATTTTTTTAAATATGGTATTTGTGTCAAGAAACGAGGTACTAGAAGGATTGAATTGATTAGATAGACTGTATCAAGATAATGCAATTATTTAAATTCGAAAATATTCTCGAAAATGAATCCTAGTTTGATTGTCATTGTAGCTGTAAAATGGACAAGATTTCCCTGAATTGAGAAAAATATCTTTACCTCATCTCTAATACACGCGACACTTCCCTGTTGATTCCACGAAATGACTGCAAGTATTATTAACCGCAATATTTATTCACGTATTCCAGTCAACGCGCATTGATCTACGTGCGCGTATATATTACAAAAGACAGTATATATTTCATTCGTCTAACAATTAA